GAAACAAAAGCAAAAAATAAAAAATGTTTAAAAATATTCACAAGTGAACACTCGGACGGGACACCAAGGTCCACTACATCGTCGTCCGACCACGGATGGCCGCAGCGATTGCCAGAAGCGCGTGGCACATCATCCTCTTCGTTTCATTGAACGCCGCGTAGCGCTGTTTGTGGACTGCGACTTCCTGCTCCAGTATGTCACATTGCCTCGTGAAAATGCTGCATTGCCGCTTGCTGGAGGATTCGATCGTCGACGACATCAGCTCACCATGTCGATCCATGACATCGGCGATCGACCCCAACGCCTATTGACGTGCATTCTTTCGCTTGCTGCCTCCAGCCCTGCTGCCTGCGTTGTTCTCGGACTCACGCGCATAAGAACGTTCCTCGGGGAAGCCTTCGCCACCAGCCTCACTACCAACCGACTCACCACCACCACCTCCTCTCCTGGGAAGCTGCACCCCGTCAGGATTTCCTGTGTCGGCGATGTTCGGAGGAAAAATTGTATGGTTGCCTAGCATGCCAGCATGGATCTCGTTGTAAAGCGCGCTCTCCATCCGGAACTTGAAATTGTGCTCCTTCCTTTCCTCATTTGTAAGGCCGAAGAAATCAGGACGGCCGCTTGCGTTCTGGAACTGTTGTATCTTCTTGTAGTTTTGGAACAGATTGTCCCACTTCTTCATGCAGTCGTCCGCGTCTTTCGGTTTCGCCGCGCTCGCCATGCGCTTGGCAATGTCGTCCCACTTCCAGTCCTTCGTCCGCATCCGCCCGTAGTTGTGGCCCAGCCCGGCGAGGTGCATCTCTTGCTCCCGCTTGCATCTCACTAGTTGCAGTTGTTCCTCCGGAGACCAGTACGTCACAGACTTCCCGGCATCGTCGCTGACACAGCCTCTGCCGCCGCGGCCAACAGATCGACCTCGAACAGCACCCCTGCTGCGTGCTCTCCCCCTCCCACCCGTCTTCCCCAACGGCCGAACAGGAATGTCTTCGTCTTCGTCCCCTGCGTCCACGTCCTCCGTCAATCGCTCGTCAGCATCGTCGCCGCCATCACTGTGTGCCCGCATGTTCGACACACCTCGTGTGATGTTCTCCACAGTGGGTACTGGACGCACTGGTGGTCTGCATGCACCCGCGTCCCTCACGTCGGATTGGGTCGGTGTTGTGCGTTCGGGCATCGAAGGACGTGCACACTCGACGCGCGGTGACCCGGCTGCGGCTCCGTTGCGTGCAAGCCAGTTACTTGTCGATCGATCGGCGGACGGTGCTGTGGAACCTTGACGTCGGAGCACTGCAGATGGCCCGGCACTAGCAGCGACGGACGCACGGGCACGAAGGGTGGTTTGATCCGTACGCTGACTCCCACCCTGTCCCACGCCACATGGCGAAGGATCGGTGTCGATGATCAACGTACGGCTCGTCTCCTTGGACCCGCCGGAACATAAGCTGAACCTGAGATCAAGTCCTCCGTCGTCGTCGTCTCCCAAGCCTTGCTGCAGCAAAGACGTGTACTCGCCGCCTTCGTTGCAACCCGAACCGCCTGCTCGTGCCGTCTGCGACCAAAGTTGTGTCGAGCCGCTGGCAAGAGGCAATGTCGGCAGTTCTTTCGGCTCGGGTTCCTCGTCCGACGGGGGCAGCGGCATCTCCCACGACTGCAAATGGGCGTACATGGATGGGTCGTACCGCCGTGGAGGCTCCGTCGTCGCAGGTCGTATTCCGCCCTGACCCGCACCAACACCCGCGCGTCCCTGCATGCCCGCCATTGTACGCTCTCCTGCCGACCATTTCGTCGGTGCCCTCCTCTTGCGATGTTGTTTCCACGGGCGCCACGACAAACACACGTGGAGGAAGACGACAAGTAGGAAGACGACGACGGCGAGCACGAGCAGAGGAAATCTCCTCCCCACGTCAGCCATCAAATTCACCACCAACCCCAACTGCGCACCCGACTGCTACTGCACCACAGTGCTCTAACATGCGGGGGGAGTCGCGCCCGGTGGACCTTCATATGCCGACAACAGCTAGAGAAGACAACGAAGGTGGCAGCATGCGATTCAAAAAACGACCGTTGCTGCCACCACTCGGAGCCCGCGCCAATGTGCGTCGTGGAGAGACCGACGTCGAGACAACGGTCCACTACGGCCGGCAGCCCGCAGACGGTCGCCAGACCCCCCAGCCCCACCCCAACGGCCCCGCTCGCCACCGGCTACCACAGCTGGCTGTTGCCGGCCTCGGCCCGCTCCAAAAATCCGATGTCCGACCGCCCACCCGACGGACCGCTACTGGACCAGCAACCCTGTGGCGACGGTGCCATGCGCGCGACGCATCGACTCCGTGATAATCGGGAATCCTAAATTTTTCAGTAGCTCCGGGGCTACTGGAAGATTTAGGACGATTTGCCTGGGGAATCCCAAAACTTTTAGGACGAGTCCTAACGCCGTTTTCACATTTTCGATTCCCGCGGCCGATTTAGGATTGCATGCAACCAACACGCAATCCTAAAAACTGGATCTTTTAGGAGTGTCTAACGAGACCCTTGGTCTTAGCCAAAAGGCCCAGAAAGGTATTTTTAGTGGGGTCAACTTTGCATTTTTTGGCTCTGTACTTGGAAGGTAGGGATAGTAGTTAGGTAGGAATGTGGGGTTCCTTTGCTTTCTTTGGTATTGAATAGGCTAGGGCAAGGAGTTGGATAGTCTTGTTGTATACATGGTCTCTTGGTTTGTTCTGCGTTGGTTTGTGTGGCTTTCAGGCCTTGTGGATTCCTTTGTTTCCAGGGTTGGGTTTTCCGTCAGGGCAGTGATCTTGCATTGGCCATTTCTGCCACTGGACCTTTTCCCTAACGCTTGAACCTAAGCTGAGTAATGGTCCCAGTATTTGCTTTCCGGGTTGTTGTGGAGGGATATAATGAAAGTGGTGTTTTGGGAAAAATAAAAATAAAAAATATTGTGCCAGTGGGAAATGCTTTTGGCGGTCTTTGAAAGCAGCAGCGTAATGCTCACACTGTGGCAGGCCTCCTAAAAGGCCTCCTCCGCCTCGTCCACCTTCAGACGTTTCTGGTGTACAAAGTACCAGCATCTGTCTGCTTTTTTTTTTTTTTTTTTTTTTTTTAAATCAATGTCTGCTCTTAGCATCTGCCAGCCGATGAACGGGTGCGTTGCGTTTTAAGGCCGATTGCGCGGGGAAAGACACACACGCCGGGGAAGGAAAAAAAAGGGAAAAAAAAAAAAGAAGAAACACGCAATGTGAAACAGAGAAGGAAAAGAAAGTGAAAACGAGAAAGGAAAATAAAGTTTCCATGTGCATCCTATCCCCCTGTTGTCTTCTGGTATTTAAACAGAAAAGGAAAAAAAGAATCTAGACCATTTCTTGATCCAAACGTGTTATTCTCATGCACGGTGCGGGCTGATCTTCAGCTTACGTGTGTCGTTCCACTACTGCGTACATTTCTTTTTTTTCTGAATTGCTATTATTGAAAAACAAAAAACTTGGACCATTTTTTGATTTATGCGTGTCATCCTTGGGCAGTGGCCATGCTAATCTTCTTCTGCTTTCTGTGTATCGTCCCAATCTTTTTTAACGGATATCCCGTAGGACACTGCTTTTACTTTATGTTTTCTTCTCTCTTTTTTCATTACCCCCCCCCCCCCCCCCCCCAAACCAAACAACAACAACAACAACAACAACAACCCAATTGTTTTAAATGGGCGATGGCCTTGAAATATCATCTTTGGACTGACCAGCCCCAGGTAAATTCAGAGTTCTTTTCATTCATCAGATTCCATTCCATTGGAATCCGAACTCAGGACCTGGTCTGCATTTCACCAGTTGATAGGTGTACCCCAAGTGGGCTAGTCCAGTTGGTCACTGCTCGTCTTTTCGTCCGTACTCTCCGGTCTTTTGGCAGGAGGACTGAAGTTCATCCCCCCACTGCACGGCTACCTGTAGTCGACGACTCTGAGCACAATGCTCGGTCCCATATTTCTGTTTCTGGCCTGCAAGTTGGGCTAAATACCGCTAGAAGGACCGGGTGTTGTGTTCTTCAGGGGAAGACCGTGGTTGATTCCCTAGGTGCATGATGGGGACAAGTAATAGTGACTATATTCTTCCCCTGAATAGAATGTACAGTCATTGTAGCTGTATTTAGGATGACGGATACCCTAAATACAACTATAATTACGGTACGTTGTATTCGGGGGAAGAAGGGTAGTATGCATAGGCAGAGGGGATGTGTGAGGAAGGAATGAAGGGACCTTGAATGTTTGTCTGTGTGCTCCTGCCGTGTGTGTTCGCGATACTGCGGCGCGCTAGAGGTCACATGAAATGCAACACTTTTTCTTTTTCCAAAAAAAAAGGAGCATAGTATTCTGAATAAAGGTCATAAAAGAAGAAGAAGAAGAAGAAGAAGAAGAAGAAGAAGAAGAAGAAGAATGTCATTACGGATGATGATGGGGAAAAGACAGACCTTGGGTTGGTGGCAGATGGCGCTTCTTGTCCCGTATTGCTCGTTTGTTGTGCTACCGGTCAATCATCTCCCTGGCTCTTCCCCCCCGCCCTCGGTCGTCGTTGTTGTGCATTTGCATGGAGATACTGTTATGGGAAATTAAGAATTAGAAAAAACAAAAGAATTGATTAATAGGAGACAAATCGGAAAAGATCAGTAATTCAGAGAAGAGGTAAGAGGAGGAGGAGAAGAAGAAGACATGCTGCTGATGAGGATGATGATGAGGATGAGGAGTGGTAGGAGGAGGAAAAGCAAGGACCTGGTGGGGTTCGATGAACAGGTGCATGGAGGGAGGGGTGCTTCACCCCTCATGTCTTGGTTGGCCAGGGCATTCTTATGTTTCCATGGAGGCCGAATGTGAACCTAGATGTGGTTCAGATACATACGTACATAGATACATAGATATGTGGCATCCTTCTTCTCAGGCGATGACTATATACTCAGTGCAGCTTTGGCCGAGCCCCTTACTATACTAAGGAACTGGTCATGGTATTGTACAGGACTTTAACAGTTTACGAAGCAACTGGTATAATGTAACAACAATATTATTATTACAGGACTAAGTACCTTGTATGTGGTGACGATAAACCAATTAGTGTGTGGAATCGGGAAGCAATCGCTTAAATCAATCAAAGACTGATGTGCAATTTTTGGAGGAATTGTGCAGTCTCTGTACTGTTGGCGCTGAAACGACGCCTCCAGCTTCCAAGAATCCCTTCTCAATTTGCATCCTGGTTGTGAATTGCACGATTCATCAATTAATTCACACACAATTGTAACATGCATGTGTGTTTGACTGTATGTACCTCCCTCTGTGTGTGTGTGTGTGTGTGTGTGTGTGTGTGAGAGAGAGAGAGAGAGAGAGAGAGAGAGAGAGAGAGAGAGACGTAGTGGTAGCGGCATCGTTGTTGTAGTAGGGTCCTGCTCTTCGAGTGTCGCCCTCTCTCCCGAGGCTGTAAGGGTTGCTGGATTATTCATCTGAAGTGAAAAGAGACCCGCAGTGGCAGAGGGGGGAAAGGGTGGGGCTCAGAGATAGACGGTGGTATGGGCTGGATGGAGGGTTGATGATGCGTTTCTGTGAGCTGTTTTGTGAACTCTTAACTCGAGATATGGTCTATTAGTACAAAATGTGTTTGTTTGAACGGCATACTGAACTTTGACAGTGGTAGTCATTGCCATTTCCTCTCTGAGGACAGTTAGGGCTTCCACGAGAGGTTGTTATGGTTGTCTAAATCACGGATCTTTCTATTCGGGTCTAGCCAGCTCGTTCATGGGCATTTTTGCTTCCACAATTTTCCCTTTTTGAAAATTCGACAGCCGTGAGATCTCATCCTTTTAACTGACCGGCCCCAGTTAATCAGAGTTATTTTTACTCATCTGATTCCACGAGAACTCGAACTCAGGTCTGTGTTTCAACAGTCCATGGGTGTACCAACTGCGTTAGGCCAGTTGGAACTGGAGAGGTTCCAATTTCCCGGGTCGGAAGTCTTTTTTTTTTTTTTTTTTTTTTTCATTTTATTTTATAATTTGGACCATTCTCGGCCATGCTAATCTTCTTTCTCTGTATCGTTCCAATTTTAACGGATGTTCCGAAGGACTCAGGGAAGTCTTTTAGTGTTAATCTGCTGTGTTGTTTAGTAGGCGGTAAGCTCGGCTGATGCTGGCCTGGGCCTCCGGTCCTCGGCTGTAGTACAAGGAGGTTTGTTTCCCTGAAAGCAAACCTGGGTATTGCTCCCAGTATGTGCCATCCGGGCAGACTGTGAGTTCCGCTGCCTCTATTTTGGTTGTGGATGGATATAAAGTGTTGGCTGCCAAAGCTTATCTGACAGCAAAACAAGCAAAAATGAAGTCTTGGACTCGCAAAACAGAAAAGCATGACGTACAGGTGAGAGAAAAATGTATGGCAAAAAAGAAAAAAAAAAGAAAAAAAAAGGAGTCTGGATTTGAGGCTGGGCCCGTATTTCGACAGTTCATGAGTGTACCCACCCAACCAGGTCCGTTGCCAGGGGGTGGCCAAATTGGGCCGGCCGTAACGGTTAACGGGCTATCGTAGGGCGTACTCACACTATCTTTAATGTATCTGGCCTCATTTACAGGCAGACATGCTTGTATCTGACCATGAATACGTCCATAAATAAGTAAAAGAGTTCTTGTGTGAGTACGCCCTCAGTCGGTAAGGCGCAACATCGAAAGATGCACTGCAGCCATTTCGGTCCCTAGATTCGAGCTCGTGACTGCTTTCTCCTCTGGCTGTAATGCTGGCCAGATCAAAAAGCAAAAACAAAGGAGCTGGACAGATTCTTAAAAAAAGAAAAAGAAAAAAAAGAAGCAGCAGCACTGTGCGAGATTTTGTTTTCTATTTTCTTTTGTTTCTTCGGCTCAATCAGCTTTCATGTGTTTGTGGAGAGGTGCAGAGGATCGCGATTGATCTGCTT